TTTAAAAAATATTTTTTTAATTTTATGTGTTGATTAGTTATTGCGACATACTGTGTCATGAACCTTAATAAAGCGATATTGATGCTCGAGAATCAAGATCCAGATCACCGTCAATATTCTATTGTATGTCAATACATCAATACTGATAACACACGATCAGTAATATTGTCAGTATTTGATTAAACTGATAGTATTATTGATCATGTAGAGTCACCTTTATATGTATATTTCCGTTTAGTACAGACTTCCAAGGGACACTCTAAAATGACATCCAAAGGACGTTCTCTTCACTGTTCTAAAGACTTACCCAGAATGTCTTTCGAATAAAATTCTATATGGGTTATAAAAACGTGTTACGCTAGCTATGTATAAAGATGACAGAGTGTGCGTGTGTATATATACACGCGTGTATGTCGCTTGCCGAGGAAAGTGATCCTACTCGAGGACGATGATGAAACAGGTGATCGATAGCGAATTTACACCAAGAAATAATATCCTTTCGTCACGGGGCTATGTCTACCCTGTCGCGTATGCGTACCCGCATGTTGCAAACTGAGAACACCTTCACCATTCACCTATTTAAAAATATCGTCTTTCTAATCCCGCGTGTGAGAGATACTCCAGTAATCTCTCACTCGCAAAAACGTTATTCAGGTCACAACTGACGTTAATTTCGCTATTATGGGACATACCTGTGGCGCGGACCGTACGTAAAATTGCAATGGAATTTATGGCTTTAAATTTTCCGACGGTTATAAAAATGTTAAGATCTAAGACCGGAAGCAAGATTGACACAGGATTATTCGAAGCGTCCTAATAAGTACTCGGAAATCTGTTGAAATTTTAGAATGTATTCAGAAATTAGGAATTAAAGCTAGGAATTACTTTTCGAATTATTCTATATAGGGAAGATTTGCTTATCTCATTAATATTTTATATTATTATTATTATATAATATGCAACAATTAGTATTGAAAAATATTATGATAGCTGTTTCTGTGTAGTCGTTGCAATGTTCAAATAAATTGAGTAGTATATGATATTGTGTGACTCGTTAACCAAGCTTTTTGCGAATGAAAATGTTAAACATTAAATTATTAATATTAAATAAGGGAAATCCTTGTATCTTTAGAATACGGGAAATTCGGGTTCTAATTCCGCTGAGGTAATATTTTTCGCGCAATAAAATATTCACAGATTTAGAACTTCAAGTTTTTTATTAACATCACATTATTAAAGAAGATGTTTATTAACATCATATTAAATTACTTGTAAATTTAATAAATGATATTACTACACGGAAAGAATTATATCTTAAAATTTACCCTGAAAATATGGTAATCATGGGACAACATTATATTTCGAAGAATTTTTATGTAAATCTCTCACATTCATTAATAAAACTACAATAAAATATAAAATAAGTATGATTAATTTTACTGAAGTGCATGGTAAAAATCTTTGAATTTGTTGTATTGTACCATAATTACTATATTTTCAGGGTAAATTTTAAGAAATCCTTCTCTCCGTGTATTCTGATTTTACTTATAATTGCGTTTTAAAACTAATAAAGATGTTAGGACGTGGTTTGCAAAATCAGATATGTATATATATGTATATAAATTCACACGGAAATATTAAAGCACTAAAACTCGCTTCGACCAATAGGATTTTTCTTACTTAAATTCATATATATTTTCATCGATGTTCAATTTGAGGTTAATTAAACATGTAGAAATCGTCGAAATTTCTCGTAAACTGCATGCACATTTCAGAGAAGAGACGCTATCGAGGACACAAGTGTGCAACGGTAGTTGGTTCTGAACCATTTGTTCAGACATCAGAACAACTGCAGAAACAACTATCGCGAGGTTACAACTATGTAGGACGTGAATTGCAGACACTTCCACCTGCCACTCTCTGTCTGTATAAATACGTCTACCAACGTTGATTTATATTTAAGAAAAATTTCGTTTATATTTGAACTATCCATATATATTTCGAAATTCGAACTTTGACATTTCCGGACAGGCAGACTATATTTTAGTCGTTCTGTATATTCGCGAACTGTTCGGCAAGAGTTTGGCACACGTATTTTCGCCTCGAGATTGAGGACTGCGCGAGAAGTTGTACGAGTACGCGCATAGGGAATCACGCGAGTTGCATCGGGAATGTTGATTCACTCATTGGAAAGTTCCGCAATGTATCGATCAGTGTCAGATCGGTTCGCCTAATTAAGTGATATGTTCATCGTTTTAATAAAACAGGCACGTAAACGCGAACGATGATGCGCCGCGGCGATACGAGTAATCATCATCGTCGATGTTGTCGAGTCCTGTTTCCTATTTCCGATATTACCCGCGGGCAGCCGTTAATAATGTAAATTGTCGTGACCGGCTTTCTGTCGACATAAATCGCGCGTATTGACGCGAATCGGATCGCTTCATCAAAAGTCGGACGAGAGTTAATCGCTGCATTTAATACTGACATACGCGAGCGTCATTAAATAAATGACAAAATTATGAATAATGAGAGGATAAATTTACATATAGAAAACTTATCTCGTGAGGGTAATGCGATAAAATAAAAATCGTATTTTTAATTAATTTTAATAATAATAAGACAAAATATTTGTAAAAAAAAAGAAATAAATAAGCATATTGAACAAAACAAGGAAAAATAATACTTTCAGTAACAATAAAAAAAAATTTATATGGAAAATCTGTTAAAATCATATTGATATTTAAAAAAAAACAGAAACGCACGTAGAAGCAAATAAGAATACCAAATGATATAATCAGAGTAAAAAATATAATATTTAGAGTTCCTCGCAAAATCTAAATTCTAATTATATATTCTTATTTGCTTCTATATAATTTTCTATTTTACATTTTTATTTCACGGTACGTATTTTATTAATCTCATACATATATTGATATACATGTTTATAAATTATGGAGAGAAATTTATGAGATGACATCAAATAAATAAAGGAGAAGCACGCAATAAAATATAAACAGATATCTCGTGCGGGGAGTGTACCGTAATTATGCAGTTGCGGCTGTAGAAATAACTCAGCGGTAGTCGTCATTGCGCGAAATGATTAATTCCACTTGTACGTCAAAGCACTTCAAAGATCTCGAAGTCTTGACATGGATTCTACAGAAGTTGGCGATGACAACGCGGTTTTAGAGACAGAAAGAGAAGGGTAAAGTGATAGAGATAGGGAATACTTTTAATTAACTTATGCCGCTGCATTTTGTTAATTTATACCTACTGCTCCTGTTATTTTGCATTTTTGTAGTATTTTCCTATAGCAGAAGAAAAGAAGAAATAATCCATCTCTCGGAGTCGCGAAACTTTTTGTATCTTTCGTGCGCCGAACTCACGACCGCCGAGAAACTTAAGACATGTTTTATTTGTGACCTCGTGTAAATAACAACTAACTCACCGAAAGCGAGACAGCAGTTTCTTGTGCAGGAAGCATAATTGCAGAGTTTTACGAAAGGACGACTTAAAATAGAAGAATATGATAGCAAATAAGCAGCATAAAAGATTTTTGCTTCTATAGTGATATTTAAGTTTTTCCAAAATATGGTATACTTATACAAATATACAAGCAATTTATGTTTGTAATATGATATATTACACATATAATCTAGTTTTTTTTGTAAGATGTTTTTGTAAGAGGAAAAAGAGTATGAAATATACACGATTCTATTTCAGTTAAACCTGATAATAAAATTATTTGAACTTAGTGAATTAAATATTTAGTACACATTTTTGAACAGATAATAATGGTTAATCTTTAGAAGGAATTTATTAAAATCTTGCAGAGAGAGAGAGAGAGAGCATTTCCTTATAGATAAAGTTTGTTATAAATCATTATTTTTATTCCTTGCTTCAAAATATGACACTGTTTCAGCGCCATAGTAGCTTTCCCGTATAAAGGTTAAATCAGGATAATTACTACAGTATGTATAATATTTGAACAAAGAGGAATTTTACAAAGAGAGAACGCGTACGTACATATGTTAGAGAGATTATATGTACATATATTAACAAATCCTACAAAGCGTGAATTCTACACACACACACACACACACACACACACACACATACTCTCTCTCTCTCT